GCAGTAGCATAGAGCAGGACCGTGGATAGTGTACGTTGACAGCAATATAGTCCTGTGTATATTGTAGTATAGGAGGTCAGGGGAGGGGACAGAGGGCAGCAATGCAGCTGTAGAAGCAGTAGCATAGAGCAGGACCGTGGATAGTGTACGTTGACAGCAATAGTAGCTTATGTGACAATATAGTCTATATAGTATATTGTAGTATAGGTGGTCAGGGGAGGGGACAGAGGGCAGCAATGCAGCTGTAGAAGCAGTAGCATAGAGCAGGACCGTGGATAGTGTACGTTGACAGCAATAGTAGCTTATGTGACAATATAGTCTATATAGTATATTGTAGTATAGGTGGTCAGGGGAGGGGACAGCGCGCAGCCACCCAACTGTGGAAGACCGTATAGTGTAGTAGTATAGAGTAGAGCAGTGGATAGTGTACATTGATAGCAATAGTAGTGTTTATTATAGTATATTGTAGAGTGTTTATTATAGTATAGTCTATATATGATATGCTGGATGAACTACTGGCTGTAGATCGCAGCACGGCGGTTCACGTCGTGTCCGGCGTGTGTTGTGTAGTCAACAGACATAAGGCCCCGTAGCTGCAGCATCCAGTAAAAGCTATATACTATAGGAAACCTTATCTTCACCCCGTCCGTCTTACGATTGGCGCCCGCAGCATGGCAGTTGCTGTGTCGCCGCTGCGGGTGTGTGTGCCTGCCTCTCCAGCTGCTGCTCTGGTTTACGGATTCGGTTTTTGTAGCCAGCAGCAGCAGCAGCAGCAGCAGCAGCAACAGCAGTACTTAGCAGCAGCAGCAGTAGCAGCAGCAGCAGCAGCAGTAGCAGCAACAGCAGTACTTAGCAGCAGCAGTACTTAGCAGCAGCAGCAGCAGTAGCAGCAACAGCAGTACTTAGCAGCATCAGTACTTAGCAGCAGCAGCAGCAGCAGCAGCAGCAGCAGCAGCAGCAGCAGTACTTAGCAGATGGCGGAGGCCGTTGTGTGGTAGGCAGCACGCTTCCTGTGTTAGCTAACCGAGTTGCGGGCAGTTACCTCGATGCGGCTGTGGTGACACTACGGGGAGTCGCACACACCGGCCACACCGTACTAGTGTGCGACGACGGAGAGAGTGAGTGAGTGAGTGAGCGAGTGAGTGAGTGAGTGAGTGAGTGAGTGAGTGAGTGAGTGATTAAGAGAGAGAGAGAAAGAGAGAAAGAGAGAGAGACAGAGAGAGATAAAGAAAGAGCGAGAGAGAGATCAAAATCACGTCATCGCGTGCGTGCGTGCGTGCGTGCGTGCGTGCGTGCGTGGGTGCGTGCATGCATGCTTGAGTGTGTGATATTTGCCGGAGAGCGTGCGTATGTAGTGGAACGGCCTGTAGTGAGGGTCAGAGATGCCAGCGCGAGATAAGTTTGTGTCACAGTAAGCGTGTGGCAGTCAGGCCACACCACACGGTGTCCATTCCAAACTAACTCTTACGACCCAATACAGCCACTTACTGGTTCTCCCCCTCCCCTCTCTCTCTCGGCCTCTCTCCTCACTCTCTCCCTCTGCCTCTCTCTCTCTCTCTCTCTTTCTCTCTTCTTTCCTTCACCCTTCCTCCCTCCCTCTCTCCTTCCCCCTCTCCCTCCCTCTCCCGCTCGGGATCAGGGCGTGGTTAGAAGGGCGGGTGCAGGGGTTTGTTGGACTGGTTGACGTATTTCGTGCACTGGTGTTTGTTTACTCTTGGTCCATCGCGAGGTTAGGTCGTCTCATCTGTTAGCAGTAGACACGTGGCAGCGGGGGCGGGTGGCACATGCGCGCGCGGGGTGTGTCAAAAGCGAAAGTATCTCTCAAGATGACATATTCCTGGGTGGGGTGATGGGGGAGGGGGGGTCTGTCACGCGTGAATAAACACGGCAGGGGTAACTACTGCATATACATATCTGATCGACAGAGATCTGCTGATGTAAGGGCTGGCGTGAGGGGTGAGGGGGGCAGTACCACAGTTTTTTACGGTCAATCTCTGGTGCACCTCGCCGCTTTCATTCTCGCTCTCTCTCTCTGTCTCTCTCTCTCTCTCTCTTTTTCTCTCTCTCTCTATTTTGCTCACTCTATATTTTGCGCACTCTCTCTCTATCTCTCAGACCTTGTCTCTCCCTCTCTCCCCCTCTCTCTCTCTCTCTCTCTCTCTCTCTCTCTGGCTCTCTCTCTCTTTCTCTCTTTCTCTCTCTCTCTCTCTTTCTCTCTCTGTCTCTCTCTCTCTTCCCTCTCATGCTTTCCCCGTGGCTCGAGAAAAAATGTCTTGAAAATAACGATGGCCCCATTACTTGCTTTCCATAACTAGTTAAATTTGTTAAATTTGTTGAAACATTTCCCACATGTGCCAAGAATCCAGATCCGAATTTCCTTCCGAGCATTGGATGGGTTTTCGATTGAGATCATCTTCTGTTATGAAGCTAGCCACAGTCAGGCAAGGGTTAAAAGTTTGATCAGTGTCGTATAATAACACAAGATTTATATATAAGCAAAAATATACTAGCGGGAAAAATATCACGCGTATTTAGGCTCTGTGATCCATGTGTCAGACCAAGCCACTGTTGGCATTAGCACCACAAAAGTTCTACTGTACTTCTTTTAAAGTGATTACGTCACGAATTTCTAGCACCATCAAGTAGTATATTTGTGTGTTATTTGTACAAAATAAAATGTATGAAAATACAATTAGTGTTTCTGTTTACTTTTCATGCTTATATACCTTCTTTATATGCCCTAATTTGCCGGTGAAAAATAGAGAGACGCCAGTATCTGAACAGTACTGGGGGAATAGTGTTAGACAACAGAAATTACCAAATCGTCTAGATTTTTGCAAATTTAACCAACGTAAAAACATTTTTATCAGGTGAGAGTTTGAGGATATATTTAGTAACGTTAGTTCTTACTTTTAAAGCCGCACAATGCGCATCCAAACGCTAATTTCTCCAGTACTAGACTAGCAAATACTTCGTGTCATGCATAATCATACTACCTTATGGCAAAATAAACTCTAGTTCCTCCCATTTGACTGCGCGTTGTCTTATAAAAGGTATTTGAAAATAGCTCCAATGTTGTTGACGTTCCCCAATCTCCAAGCAACCGTGCAGCGGTGCCGCGGTACAGCGGTACGGGCGCAGCAAAGATAAAAACATGTGACGTCACGTGATGTTATGTTGTTTGAAACAATTTAGCGTTGGCGCCTGATTACCTGATTTCGCACCTCTTTCTTGTTGGGAACGCGCAGTCAAATGGGAGGAACTAGAGTTTATTTTGTCATAAGGTAGTGTGATTATGCATGTCACGAAGTATTTGCTAGTCTAGTACTGGAGAAATTAGAGTTTGGATGCGCATTGTGCGGCTTTAATGTAAAAAAATGTCAATTTTTTTTTTTACAAATTTTACCATGGAAAATTCGTGACGTAGTCAATTTAATTCCTCTTCATTCTTGTTGTTGTTGCAGTTCGAAAGATGTCAATCAGCATAAGGAGTTTAAGAAGGCGATTGGTGCTGCTGTTGTCTATTATAACGAAGATGATGGCAATTTGATAGCCTTGGTAAGTCTGGCGTTATTATCCTTTGTGTATTCTTATCCTATGTGCACTCTTCGTTTACAGGCAAACCTGTATGTAAAGTTTCGCTCAATGGTAATGCGAAGTGTCCTTTATAGACAGGTGTTCCTTCTATAGAGGTGATCGCTGGCTTTTACCGTGCCTGTACTCTTCCAATTAGACTTCCATTCACCCTGTGCGTGTGTCACACGTATTCTTTCGTCCACGAGACGCAGTCTGCGACTGTACCCTGTCTTCATCGCCGGCTCGGTCGCGAGCAGCCTCACTGTGGGAGAGCATTGACCTTTCACAGCCTCCAGCGTGGATGCTGCGTGCTCGGGGGGGACGAGGATGCTGCAGCCCGTGCTGCGCGGGCGCGCACGAGCGTCTGATACGAAGCCCGAGCGTGGCTTCGCAGCTGCCGAGCGCACTCCCACGTGGCTGTTAACGAGCAGATGCTGCTGCCACCTGCTGATACGATGAGCAGACGCTACTGCCCTCTGCTGAGGTAATTGTGGCTGACTGTGCGCTTACACACGCGTCGCTTGGTTTTGCAGAGTACTCAGAATCAGGCCGTCAAGCGAGCCGAGATGCTGAGCCAGATGCACTTCAGGAACCTGCGGCAGAAAATCCTCCTGCTCACCAGGACGGAGGAGGCGACAAAGCAACTCGAGGTAACCCTGTCCCTCCCCCTCTCCCTTAGCCATCCCCTCTCCTTCAGCCACCCTCTCCCTCAGCCTTCCCCCTCTCCCTCAGCCACCCTCTCCCTCAGCCTTCCCCCTCTCCCTTAGCCATCCCCTCGGCCTCTTCCTCAGCCACCCCCCCTCTACTCCCCTCTCAGGACGGAGGAGGCGACGATAGCAACTCAAGGTAACCCCGTCCCTCCCCATCTCCCTCAGCCACCCCCCTCTCCATCAGCCCCCTCTCCCTCAGCCCCCCTCTCCCTCAGCCCCCTTCTCCCTCAGCCAGCCCCCTCTATTCCCCCCATCAGGACGGAGGAGGCGACGAAGCAACTCGAGGTAACCCTGTCCCTTCCCCTCTCCCTTAGCCACCCCCTCTCCCTCAGCCCCCCTCTCCCTCAGCCAGCCCCTCTCTACTCCCTCCACCAATACCAGGATGGCTCGAGGTTGCCCTGCTCTATCTCCTTCAAGCAACCAAGCTAGTCGAATAGTGTAGTCGTGTGCAATACACGAAATAGCTCTGCTATCCATAAAGCTAATGCTAAATATAATATTTGCACTAAAATATTAAATAATTGTTTTTAAAGTCACTCGTGCAAGTCGATCGCTGTAGAAGTTTGTTTTGCATACGAAAATTAACCTAAGCTAACATGAAAATAACATCGCTTAATATGAAACGCGTCCATAATACGCGGCTATATCATTATATGTTCACATTCGTCATTATATCGAGAAATAAGCATGTACAAAGGGGGCACATATGCGCCTGTCAGCCATCGAGTAACAATGAAAATGAATAATCAATAAGATTTCACATGGAAGCTTGAGTGTATCCTTAAAATGTAAAACATTTATCTACGGCTATCTGTATCGATTTGCAATTTTGCGCTTGTTTTTCTGCGCACACAGAGCACGCGTCTGCACGCGAACGCGGGACACGTGCAGGAGTTCTCCGTGCGAGAGGATCTGATGGGTCTAGCTATCGGCGCACATGGAGTGAATATCCAGCAGGCGAGGAAGGTAGACGGCGTGACGGCCATCGAACTGGACGAGACGACGTGCACCTTCAAGATCTACGGAGAGGTGAGGGGGCGCGTGTACACGCACGCACGCATTTATATATCAATCATATTATCATTACACTACACAAGATCTACGGAGAGGTGAGGGGGCGCGTGTACACGCACGCACGCATTTATATATCAATCATATTATCATAACACTACACAAGATCTACGGAGAGGTGAGGGGGCGCGTGTACACGCATGCGCGCATTTATATATCAATCATATTATCATAACACTACACAAGATCTACGGAGAGGTGAGTGGGCGCGTGTACACGCATGCGCGCATTTATATATCAATCATATTATCATTACACTACACAAGATCTACGGAGAAGTGAGTGGGCGCGTGTACACGCATGCGCGCATTTATATATCATCATTTATCATTACACTACACAAGATCTACGGAGAAGTGATACGCACACTCTAGGGAGAGTCGAGGTGTACACGCGCACACGTACACGCACACGTACGCTCGTTAGCACACGTACACACGCACGCATGCATGTATATATCAACCACATCATTACACTTTAAGGTATAGATTATCTATGGAGAGGTGGGTCATAGATGCACACACTCACATGCACATAGACATCGAGCACACAGACACACATGTTCCACCTACACGTAGAGGTGGGTGCTGCATGCATACGTATATACATATACATATGCACACGTGCATTTGTGCACAAATACACGCACACACATCACAAAGTACAGTAGAGTATAGTCTAGGTGAAACGAAAGGTAACACACAAAAAAATATTCTGACTGCTTTCTGCAGATATTCACCAATGCAATCTGTCACTTTACACATTTTCAAGGCTGCTGTCTCTATTTCAGACGGAGGAGGCGGTGAAGAAAGCTCGATTTTACCTGGAATACGCAGAAGAATCCGTACAAGTGCCTCGCTCTCTCATCGGTAGGTGGCAGCACCTACCCCGCATCTCTACGTGCATTAAATCGCGTTACTACGATGCGCGATTCATTTGTGCAGTGGATCCTTATATATTCCAGTTTCAAATATTCGAAAGGTTCGGAGCATCAAAGCGACCCTGCTCATCTAGAACGTGAATATAAATAAGTTGAGGAAACATGTCAGACGCTGTGGCGTAGGGGCGCGCACCGCGAGTAGTTGCTGTGACGACGTCGTGTGTGTTTTGCTCGCAGGGAAGGTGATAGGAAAGAACGGCCGCATCGTGCAGGAGATAGTCGATAAGTCCGGCGTCGTGCGGGTGAAGATAGAGGGCGATAACGAGCAGACGCGCATCAAGCGCGAGGAGGTGAGCGTCATGGCAACGCGTGGTACATCACGATCATCTGCGTGCGAGGGAGAGCTGATGCACGCACGTGCTGCGCATCTAGTTAAGCTAGGTTTCTGAGATTGTGGTATTCATCCCAACAACTTTCATATTCATTTGGATTTTTTTTTTTTATAAACAAATTGTAAACTTGCAGTGCACAGTAGCATTTTGTGAGTTTTTTTTTTTTCATGTTGGAATATATGTGGAGATTTTATTAATCAATTGGGACTAAAAATCAATAGGCACTAAATGCAGTTTAAGTGGACCTTTAATTTCGTTTCTAAATAATTTAACTTCTTTCTGTTATAAACTCGCCATAAACTGTTAACGTCGTGTCGTTCTTCAGTTGTAGCGAAATTTTCTGACATTTCTGTGTTGCTATTGTGCTATTGTTTTGTAGGGTCAGGTTCCGTTCATCTTTGTCGGTACAGTGGAAGCAATCACGAACGCAAAAGTGCTACTAGAATATCACCTTGCTCACCTGAAAGTAAGTGTGAGCTACTTAATTTCAGATATTTTCATACATGAAATATAAAGATGCTTTGATGACATTCAAAGCAACAAGCTTCTGTAACTAAACCATGCAATCTGGTATCTGACTGTCATGGCTGCCTTGGCCCAGTATGCCTTGCTGATGTTGATGAGAACGAAATGTTACTGAAATCCTTCTCTGTTTGCTCTGAGAAAACGCAGTCGACTTGAAGATTGATGTACACCACATCATGACAAATGCCACTGTTGAAATGCACAAATATCCCCTGCATTAGTCGAAAATATTGCACGCCTAAATGCACCAACATGTTGCAATTTGAAGGTGGAATAGACTAAGTGACACACAGAGAGATTTATCCATTGGAAAGAGAAGTTATGATAGCACGCTTTTTTTCTTTTTTTTACAGGAGGTAGAACAACTACGCATTGAACAAGAGGAGATTGCGTACCAACTGCGCAGCATGGGCGGAGGTCCACAGGGCACGAGGACGGGCAGGTACGTGTCATTGTTACACAGCACGCGCGCTCGGCCGCTCTCACCATCTACTGTCACGTTTGTCTCATTCTACTGATGTGTGTTACATTCGACTATGAGGCATGTTGTGTTATACTATGATAGCGTGACAGTTGATGGTATTATATGTATGACTATGACGGGTGTTGTGTTATACTATGATAGCGTGACAGTTGATGGTATTATATGTATGACTATGACGGGTGTTGTGTTATACTATGATAGTTGATGGTATTATATGTATGACTATGACGGGTGTTGTGTTATACTATGATAGCGTGACAGTTGATGGTATTATATGTATAACTATGATGGGTGTTGTGTTATACTATGATAGCGTGACAGTTGATGGTATTATATGTATAACTATGATGGGTGTTGTGTTATACTATGATAGCGTGACAGTTGATGGTATTATATGTATGACTATGACGGGTGTTGTGTTATACTAATACTA